ATACACTTATCATCGTCACACAGTTGAGCCATGAGAAGGCAGCTGCCGTATGCAATCACTCTTGGCTGCCTCCAGTGTTGTAATCAGGCAGGAGTAATGGTGTGGCTCTGTGGATCATACATTGGAATTATGTGCTTGGTAATGGATAGTAATAACTTATTCTAGGACAGTTTAGAGAGAGAGAGAGAGAGAGAGAGAGAGAGATTGCTGAATCAACTACAAAGGGATGCTGCTCTTACCGTGAATTATACAACTAAAGTTATATCCCTCCCTCATGAAAGGCATCCATCAATGAGGCCAGAAAAGACACACAATTCCCCTCCTCCCGTCGATCCCCTCAAAAAACCCCAACCCCCTCCCTCCTTCCCTCCCCAAAGACAATAAAAACGACAATAATGGTGACTAATTTTCCTCCTGTATCGAACCACTTCTTTATATCCATCAGTCTTTAAGAAGCTCCGAAAAATTACAGCAATATTTCATAATGTTTCGTTAAGCGAGTAATTGTTATTAGTGAAGCGTCTCTATTGTTAGAGTAGAGGGGAATAGAGAATTACATTGACAAGTTAACGGGTTAGAGCTACTGTCTATGCCGGGCGTTAACAAAGTCTCTTGGTGTTTGTGTTTACCGAGTCTCTTGATATTTGGGTTTATAGAGACCCTTGATGTTTATGTTTACAGCCTCTTAATGTTTCAGTTTACTGGGTCCTTTGATATTAGTGCTTTAAGTTTGTCATCTTCACTAACTACTCGTCTGTAATTGTTGTAATAATGAATTTCAGTATTAGTTTACAATTCCTGCACACCTTACCTGACGATAAGCCACCGTAACGCTACCTGGGGAGGATTAGGTTAGGCTAGTGTTAAGGTGGTTGATCTTCTGGTAAAATAAGCTGGAGTGTCTAATCTTCATCAGGTCCAAATCTATATATTTTTCTTCCATTGTTACTCTGCCTGAGAAATTCTACGAACATTCTCTGCCTTACTTGAGCTGAAGTTGTCCAAGTGGGGTTGCCAGCGTTCACTATCTTTCTCAAAACGAATAAGTGTTATTTACGTGCGTATTAATTGTTAAATTTAATATATTTTGTGTTGTCACTATTTTATCATCACCTTTTTTAATATATTGTTACCCAGCTGTAGAGTATAAAATGGAGAAAGAACCATCTGTTAATTTCCCACATGAACTGTAATTGTGTATGTCGCGTACGCTTGACAGCCCGTTAGTTTATGTGGATACAAAATACAGTTGACAGTGGTTTTATCATTACTGTAGATACGGAGACAGTGTGGTTGGTACTGCACTCGGCCTGTTTGAATACAAATGGTAGCTGCTAGACTGCGACATTAAGCCATTTATAACACCTGACACGAGCCAACTAAACCTACACTTACTCATCTTACCCAACCGAACAACAGACTTGTTCTGCTCTAGCTTCCTTTACTTAAAGAAATAACCAAGAATGTTGTGCTTCAAACAACAGCAGCGAAGGCGTCTCACCACAGCAGCTAAACTGGTGGGCTAGGCTGTGTGGTGGGTCAGTTAGTCCTGGGAAGATCTTTGCTCTTTATTTAGAAATTTTAATTGTATATTTTACAGCAAACTCCGACAATGGGGAGCTGAATCACGTATGCTGAAGGTTACGTTAAACTTTTTCTTTCTGCAGCTGATATATGTGGTTTGACAGCGAATATAAACAAACTTTGAAGTATCCATGGCTGCATTAAATAAGTATTTACAATTTATTTAATTTTTACAATCATAACGTTAATTTTAAAGAAGAAAATAAAATTTATTATGAATAGTTAGTTAGTGGGCAAAACACATCAGAATTTATGATATTGTTTTTATTGCACAGCAATTTTTCCGATTTCCTCCTACCTGTAACTATAAATGGAGACTTATGAATTGAAAATACAATTTGACATAAAAGAGAAACCAAAGAGTTTTTTTTTATATAATGACACAAATAAGAGTATGATTTATTATTTTCCCCAAGATGTTCACGAGAAACCACCAGAGGCAGGCCAAAAGGGGCGATCATCTTACGCACCCCACAGGGAAGGGTTGACCATATGAGGGTTTAAGATAAAAAAACCAGTATGTCTTATACATACATGGGCAACATTTCTACCGTTTGTTGTATGTGTGATCTTTAACACGAGTCTATCGGTTGTTGCTGGGTAGCTAACAAAAAGTAGCCATTAGTGTGAAGTACAGGCAGAAAACCTTTGAGTCCTGTGGTGCTGCTCCGGACACACCTGAAGTTTATAGTGGCAATTAACCATACAGGTGTAAGGTAATCAAATATTTATAACTGACGATGGAACAAACATTTATCAAAGCATCCAGACTAACAGAAATTAGTTTTAATGTCTAGTAAGAATGTATTTAGTAAATTTAGAAATACAATTATATAAATCACCACCAACTTGTCTCTATATAATCTTTACTGAGACGTTCAATTCACCATTTAAGTCATTAGGTAAGTGGCGGTCCGTAATATATCAACGCACCATTAAATTCGTACCCTAGAAAGGTGGGTCGAGGAGCGCTACTCTATAAACAAGAACAGAGAGCCTCCTGAAGATGGCTTAGTAAGGTACTGATAGTGATGTAACGCCCTGCTAGTGTTCTATGATACGTTGTTAGTTGAACAAAACTCTATAATTACTGTACCTAGAATGTTCAGTGTACCGGGATCTTGTAAGTGTTGTATTAATCGTAGTCCAATAAAAAAGTCTAGTAGGGCTGTACCTTAAATGCTTGCTATACGGAGGATCTGGCGGATACTGATGCTATTATGTTTTACTTCATATCAACAACTGAGATATGGTATTGTGCTGTTAATACTTAATTGTTATCTACTGAGACTCAAGTTGCGTTGTGTCATTTATTAACTAAAGTTCTGCGTGTGTATAGTACTGTTGGTGGGCAGTTATTGAGACATAATAATGTACCACTTATACCAAGAGCCTGGAGTTAGTGTGGTGAACCAGTAGTCTACATCAGTGATTACTATAACCAGGTCCTTTAATTCTGTTTCATTTAAGTGATAGATGAAGTTAGACTCCGTGATTCCGTTCCTCTTGAGGGATCCATAAGGTAATACTGTATCATCTTGATTCTCCGTCACCCCCAGAGATTTATTTTAAAGGGCTGTGAATTGAATCTCAGAGGGCAGAAGTTATTGTATTGATCCCGTGAGTTTATGGAGGGTGATATAGTGATTAAAAATTAACATAACACAAATTTTTTTTAGGGCCCTTAAATTACGTCCCTTAAGGCTAACGGTCTTTTATGGACAGTGAAGATTCAACACACTGATTACTAACTCTTTGGTACGTAAAGAAGGGAAGAATGACTGGCACTGTTCTCGACCAACTTCACTTTCCCAATTGAGTCAGGTACACCCATTCACAGCTTGGGTGAACTTGGGGTACCTCAGGCGACACTTGGTAGGCGAGAGAGCGATGTACCCATTCGGCCACCGCACCCTTAAGGTCTTTGGGTATATTGTGAAAGTCTTCCTTACACACACACACACACACACACACACACACACAGGTTCGAATAAGGGGAAGAAGAAAGTCCATTGGTTTACACATACCAACGTTGGGTACGAATTCATTCCCTCAAGCCAAGAAAATTATTACGTCACCTGTTTAACCCACAGTAATAGTTCCTCGTTAGCTGTAAACTCTTTATCTCTTGATTATTATCATCATCAGTCAAGAGGCGGGTCAACCAAACAGCTTTACTATACCGTTCTCTAGAGGGATTATTATCATCATCAGTCAAGAGGCGGGTCAACCAAACAACTTTACTATACTGTTCTCTAGAGGAACTTGCCAAGCTGGACTTGTTCCTGGAGCTGTATTATGAGGAGTAAATAATACAGTAATAATTGAGTTGAAATCATTTACTGACAATGGACTCGTTGTAAATAAGAAATATTAAATCGATAATGGACTCACACAACCAACCAATGATTGATGATGTTATAAAGTCAACAAATTATCTCCATCAATCAGAAGTAGCATCAGCTGTCAGAAGGTAGCAAGACGTGATTTATGTCTCTCAGGGCAGTAGACAATTTACAGGCATCGTTATAATCTTGTGTCGCGACTCTAATCGTAATTTACAGTGAAGTTTAAGGGAAAACGGCACGATTTACAACCTTACGGCGATCCTCTATATAGACTACAAAAACATTATGTGGGATTAAGTTTCACAAAGAAACAGAGACGATCTTATATTCTGACAGTGAGTTTGCCGATAGCTAACGGGGACTGGTATCTTAATTAAAACAACAATATAAAGATAGTCATCGAAAAAGTCATCGCCGCTGGCTTCAACTACAGTGCTGGCGTTGCCTTACCCGAACAAACATTAAATCTCTCAGCCTGCGACCACGTGCCGCGTGCCACGTGCCGCCCCCCTACGAAAGATGCCAAAGAAAGAACTGGATCAATACCACTGCCCAGAGACCACCCAGTGACCAAGCTTATAGTGCGGGAAGCACACGCGGTGGGCGCTGACCATTCCGGGAGAGAACATACACTGTCCATACTCCGGTGTGAGTTCTGGATAGGCCGTTGCCCTCCCTCTGCTCGATAAAAGGTAATCAAGGAGTGTGACACTTGCCACCGTAACAATTGGAAGCCCACTAGGCAAAGGGAAGCTATGCTGCCCGAAGACCGGACCGAGCCTGGGGGGCGTCCCTTTACTTACACGGGCACTGATTGCTTTGGTCCGTTCATAGTAAGACAAGGACGAAAGAGTACCAAGAGATATGGCTGCATATTCACCTGCCTAGCTACTCGTGCAGTGCACCTAGAGGTGTTGGAGTCTCTACATACAGATGCACTCCTAAACGCTACTGTCCGCTTCATTGCTAGAAAGGATACGACTCCGAAACGTATTCGTTCAGACAACGACACCAACATGGTTGGGGCTTGCAAAGAACTCCGTGCAGCAGTGCGTAGTTTGAGGATTGATGAACGCATACACAGACACTTTCAGTCATCCACCAGAACCACCTCAGTCATCCACCAACCTCGTAAGCAACCATAAGCACCAGTCATCCACCAACACCACCTCAGTCATCCACCAACCTCGTATCCAACCACAAGCACCAGCCATCCACCAGCACCACCTCAGTCATCCGCCAACCACCGTAACCACCAACAAGTACCGCAGTCATACACCAGCACCACCTCAGTCATCCACCAACCCCGTAACCACCAACAAGTACCGCAGTCATCCACCAGCACCACTGCAGTCATCCACCAACCTCGTATCCAACCACAAGCACCAGTCATCCACCAGCACCACCTCAGTCATCCACCAACCTCGTAACCAACCACAAGCACCAGCCATCCACCAACACCACCTCAGTCATCCACCAACCTCGTATCCAACCACAAGCACCAGCCATCCACCAGCACCACCTCAATCATCCACCAACCCCATAACCACCAACAAGTACCGCAGTCATCCACCAGCACCACTGCAGTCATCTACCAGCCCTGTAGTCAACCACAAGCACCACAGTCACCCACTAGGACCACTAAAGTCATCCACCAACCCCATAACCAACCACAAGTACCACAGTTATCTAACAGCACCACCAATCATCCACCAGTACTACCACAGTCATCCACCTCTGGCCGATAATGGTCAATCACACAAAGAGCAACAACAAACAACAACATGAAAGAATGACAACAAAAAAAAGTCATTAATCAACTTTACAGGAAAAAAACAATTTATTAACATGAGTAACTTCCAAGCCACACGTAGTTCATTTACCCACTGAGTTAGTGCACACGATTAGTCTTGAGTTAAGACGCCTCACTCTGCCTCATCCTCTCTCATTGGTCTAAGAATCTGTGATAATGCTTGAGTGTGGTCAGTCAGTCAGGTGTTTGGAATGTTTGGAGACGATTCTTTTTATATATTTTTTTTTTACTGTGTAGTTTTGGTGTGTTGATGTTGTGGGAGAGAGAGAGAGAGAGAGAGAGAGCTGATTTTAGACACATTATCCCCCGCAAAGACACAGGCATATTATGTACAACGACCCTCCTCCGTTTAGTCGGTCTGTACAACAAACCACACTAAATACATGGACTCAGACGCTTCTCGCACGTACAAAGGTCTATAGAAGAGACCTTGGCAAGTACAAGAACAGATAAGTCATGGAAACAATCACGTACAGGAACCAGATGATAACTTCTGACACTATCCCGTCAAAGATATCTCTCTCTGTCTACCTGTGTGTGTGTGTGTGAAATTTATGTAATTACAACTTATAGTATGCTGGTATAAGGTTTAATTAAGTTCAGGTAAGGTTTTGGAAAATTCAGGTAAGGTTCAATTAAGTTCATGGAAAGTTCAAGTGAGGATCAGGTCAGGTTCTCCAGCCATCAAATCACCACCGCATGGCCCGGTGTTGTACTTTTAACCTTGAAGAACTAGATTAGGTCTGGCGGACACACCCACACACCCATCCACCCACCCACCCACCCACACACACACACACACCTGTAGACGTGTGGCATGTTCCACATCCCAGGATCTAATTATAGGGTCATTACCCCACTAATTAGTATATAAGGTTGATGAGTGTAGTATCGTATCTTCAGCCCCCTCGATATCTTAGTGAGTCTGATGGGTCGTTAATGGTACAGGAGTGGCCATGGACTACCCTCAGGATAATTTGAGGTGATTTGTCTTATTGTTGTTATTATTGATCTTATTTCTACTACTTCTTCTTCTTACTTTTTTCTTGTTATTCTGCTTCTTGTTCTTTATTTATACCTTCCAGTCCTTGTTCTTCCTTTGTTTTCCTTTCATCTCTTTTCTCTTGTTGTTCTTCAGTTTCATCTTTGTATTCTTTCCTCCGATTTTTTTTTATTGTCACAAGTGGGGAACGTATACAAGTAACCCGAGTAATCTCTTTCTTTCTTTCTGTTTGTCTGTCTGTCCGTCTCTGACCTTCGCTAAACACACATCTCCCTCCCACCCTTCCACTCCCTGTAAGACCTGGAGCTCAGATAAACACGAACGCCACACCAAAAACAAACCCAGAGGAAGGTATCAGAATCTACAATGTTACCAGACAACAGGATCGAAAAAAAAAAAACACACACATGGACTCCAATCAAAAGCCGAACTCAATCGAAGGTTACAGAATTTATAAAGTTCAGAGACAGTCGGAATCGATATAAAATCAGACTCCACATCAAAATTGAATTCTATCGAAGGCATCATAATTTACAACGTTAATTGAACACAGGAAACTCCTTCCATCTCAGAGAAACAAAATCGCATTAGTGTCTGAAAAAAATCAACATAAAAACAAAAGAGCGTCAAGATAAGGTAGTCAGTGGTGTTTCTCTCCAGGATTCTACGCTGTCGCAACACAATATTAAATGCCGTCTCAAATTTCAAACATCAAATTGTTCTTGTTTTAATCGCTTGGGGAAGATAATTGGTTGTGTTTTTGTGTACATCGGCGTCAGAACTCTACGAAACGTAGGGACGGAAAGCTGTTTAGTTCTTTATCTTTGGTGCATTGAATCCTACATACTTCCTCATAGTACTAAAAACAGAGCATTGGATCTCCCCCAGGATAATCTCCGCGACTTCACTTGTCATTATGTCGTATGGCGTGGGTTTTTTTTTTTAATACAAATGTGTGGAATTTATAGAGTGAGCATAGCGGTCGAGGTGAAGACGATGAAAGGATTCTGGGAGTTCTCTTTTAATATTGATGGAGAAATTATCGACAAAAGTGACAGTAAGATGATGCATGGGTGTTGAGGACAGACAGACAGACAGACAGGGAGAGAGAAGCAGATTATAACAATGAAGACTTGGGTTTTATAGTTTTTTAAGGTCAGGGGTTAATGACAGCCATTTGTAAAGATGTGAAAACGCATTTCTATACAGGAAGCAGAAGGTAAATATCATGTTACTGCCTCATATCAAGTGGCAGCTTTCCCGCGAGAACATGTAAACATCACCTTGTTGTGGGCAGAGTAATGTTAGCCAATCACAAGAGCAGTAATCTGACTGTAACCAATTAAAATGAATGGGAGAGGCTTCAAGGACATTTAAACACGCTTCTTAAGTTTAGATAAAAACTCAGATTTGAGATATTTTTGGGGCAAAAATTCTCACTCTACACGGAGACTCAGCGAGGGTACCTGTGAACTGGCATAGGGGAAATTTATTACTGTTTATACCTGTAAGTTGGTGGTTGTCTGCTGATATATTACTTCATCTCTAAGTTGTAATATAACTGTAACTTGTCCTATCGCATGTTTCAATCCTCCCTCCCTCAACTTGTGACTTGAGTTATTTGAATTAGGTTAGGTTAGGTTAAGTTAGGTTAGGTTATAGGTTGGTTAATCATCAGGTCAAATAAGCTGGGGGGTGGCTTCTCTTCAGGTGTACTTCAATTTGCTTCACATTAATAAATACGCCTGACACGGCACACTACACGGGAGAGCATTATCCTCTCTATAAAATCAAACACTAAGAAGTTGGGCACAGAATCACCACCATCAACAGGATGAAAACAAAAACAGAAGAAGAACCGAATTTTTTTAGACACTTACTCTGTGGTGTGGGTCATGTGGTGTTTCAAGGAGAGGTTACTAGTTCATGCGAGATAGAGGGTATTAACACTGGTGGCTTAGTGTGATAAAGATGTAATTGAATGAATGAGGAGGCTGCAGTGATGATGTGTGTGTGTGAGAGAGAGAGAGAGACTGTGTGTATTGTTTTGGCTCTGAATGTATCAAGGTCATTTGTATCGCATTCTGTTGTGGACTCAAGGAATGTGTTAAAAGATAGTTGTTGTATCTTGGTGATCAACTTGAAGACTTATAGATTAAACATAGGTATTATAGCCCAGAGGTAAGAGATTTGTTTGACTACAGTTGTTCCCAGGTATGAAACACTAAACTAGGGAGGAGGAGATTTAGGTGTCTTTGTGAGGGTATACTGTAGAATGGAAGATGAGAAAAGTTCCATCTCGTGTGAAATGTTCCCAGCAGAAGCGACTGTGTTGGTGTTACAAGAACAAGTAAACTGAGTAAAATTCCCCTAAACCAACCCAGTCAACTTTACGATCGTCTTAGGTTAGGTTAGGTTAAGTTAGGTTAGGTTAGATAGTGTGTTAAGAGGACCCGAGAGGAAAAAGGTGATCAAAAGAACACAAGACGTTGGAACTAGGTGATCAGTAAACAAACAGGTGTGGGTATAGTGGGGAACAAGGTTTGGTGTGTCCCCGTCACTAGAGGGGGTAAGGGATTAGCGTCGCTGGGTTAGTTGTTCTCTGCGTGAGGTCACTGAGAATGGAAAGGATTTATTCAGGGAATCTGTCTATATCTGCCCTGGGTGTGTGAGTTAGTCAGAGTATATTGTGTGTCCTGGGTGTGTGGGACGCGCAGAAACACGTAAGGCAGACTAGATGACTGTATGTTTACTATGCAGGAAGACTAATTATAATGTCATTCTGTGGCATGGAGGGTTGATAAGGAGATAATGTCTCTCTCTGTCTCTCTCTCTCTCTCTCTCTCTCTCTCTCTCTCTCTCTCTCCAATTTTATATATTTTTCTTGCTTATCGAATTAAGTAGGAAGAGTAGTAGGAGGAGGAGGAAGAGGGAGGTACTTGAAACGTGTGGAGGAACGCAGCAACACTCGGAGGAGGCAGAACCATCGTACATAAATATATCACATTTAACCTCTACCAGCGAGGACTAAACCCAGTGGTCTTAGGGTGAGCTCAACATTCTCCCCACGACTCTGGGTACACGAGGAACTGGTCTATGCTGCGGTCAGTACATTCAGTATTTAATGAATTATTATTATTATTTCTCTCTCTCTCTCTCTCTCTTCCACTCACTCACGCACTCACTCACTCAGTCAACTTATATAGGTAAACATATATAGTGTATAGTAACTCTGGGTGTGTCTTAGGGGGACCATAGCCTCTGAGATAACACATACAGATTGGTATGTGTCTCCCTGGATACATATGGATACTTTCTTCTACTATACCTTCATTTGATTTAAGAATGATTGATATACATAGTGATGATAAAGATGTAACTGAGGAGGAGAGTTGATGGATTGTTTCAGACTCTCAAAGGGAAGGGAGAGCCGAGGCCAAGATCAACCTCCCCTTATCGATTACTGGAGGAAACTGCCTGTCCTTGAGTCGCTGGTTGTTTCACTGAGTTACAAGTCTAACTTATTAAGATTTTAAGCGTCTTTACCATCAGTAACACCACACTGTATGTTAAACTAATGTGGGGGTTACGTACCAGCCGAGGTAGAAGCAGATATGTTATCCTGCACAAGATCTCAGCCGTTTTTCCAGCTATGTGTGATTACCCTTCCAGGATTTTTTCTGGTCAGTGGGTGTCAGGAGTTGAGATTCTGTTTCTGCTGGAAGTCTGTGTTGTTGAGACCTTTTTTGGTAATATTTTCATGCTACGTATGATATTCTGTGGAGCTTACATAGTTGAGACCATTAACTATGTACTGATTAACCATCTCCTTTCCTCAGTAATTCTTGACTGCGGTGTGTAGAGGTACAATGAAGTGAAAGGGTATGCCAGTACTTAGGGCTGCTAGGTCGAGCCTCTTGGAGAATCCTAGGTTACTCACGGCTCGAGGAATGACAATCCACAAGTACGGAT